GGGGGGTGGCTAGGGGAGGGACACCGGGGGGTGGGAAGGGTGGGGAGGGATAACAAGGGAATAAATGCCAGATATAGCGTGCACCTATGCAACAACCCTGCATGACCTGCACATGTATCCCAGAACCTAAAATAAAATAAAATTTAAAAATAATAATAATAATAATAATGGTGATAAGACATAACCACTAGTGCAAAGGGAGATTCCAGTTTCAGCAACACCCTCAAGAAAACCAAAAGCTCCTTAAAACAAACTATTCTCTTGGCCATGCCCATTTCACCTAGCAAATCATTACAAGCTTGTCCTAATGCAAAAACCTTGCCTTCCTTTGACATCACACTATTTCTCATCAACCCCCACTTCCTTGCCGGCAACAGCTGACTGACCTGTCATCTTCTTCACCGAGGTTTTTGGCATGTAACCAATTAATACCTTCAAAATAGTATCTTAAATATCCAAATGTCCATCCCACAAGATAAGTTATTTGACCTGCTCTTTCCCAACCACCTTCACCAACACTGCACAATAGCAACCACTGCATGACCATACCTTAGACTTTAACTCTGAAAAAGCTTATATTGCACTGCAATAAAAGAATGCCTGACCTCTGACTGCAGATTTTTTTTTTTTTTTTTTTTTAGATGGAATCTCACTCTGTCACCAGGATGGAGTACAGTGGCATGATCTCCTGGCTGCAGATTTTTATCCCTCAACTTTCTAGTTCCTTTGGCCACAATCTTTGCTCTTCAATGTTAGCCACATGGAAGTACTTTACATGGTTTCAGACTAGTCTCATTCGGTTTGTAACAGTCTTCTTAGCAGTTTTCATCTCCTCTGTTCCTAATTTCGTGCTCCACTGCTGTCCTAGTCTACTTCAGAGACAAGAAGGACAATCAGTCAAGATTCACATCAATTTCCCCAGATCATCCTTATCAACTTATCCAATCTTACTGGTCTCCTCTCAATCCATCAGAGGAAGAGATCCCTGGTCTCCTGTTGAATGCTATATATTCTATTTTTTATCAAATCCCCTCACATCTCCTCATGTCCTTTCTCCATCAATTTCTGTTGAATGAAATGAAGGCTTTTTATACTTCTTTAAGCTTGCCTGTCACAATTATCACTCTTAATTATAACTTTGTTAAAATGTCCTACCTGGATTTCCAAGATATCATTCTTTTCTGATTCTCCTCCTATTTCTCATATGGTCTTTTATTTTTATTTGCTAGGTCCTTTTTCTAAATTCTTTCGTTAAACCATTAGTGTTTGAAAGTCTCATCCTCTTCTTATTCTGTGTACAATCTCATCCAAATCCCATGATATCAGCTACCACCTAAGAATTACTGGCTCACAAATATTTCACTCTAATCTCAATTTCTCCCTCAACTCCTGACCCTACCAATTATTATGTACTAATCTGTTCCACCTAGATTTTCTTGGTTAAGCTTAAAGTCCTCCCATCTAACACAATATGCAAACAACAACAACAACAACAACAAAGCAAACCAGATTTGCCACTGTTCTCTTCAAATCTTCTATCCTGTCTGTATCCTCTACGTTGGCAATAGCATTATTATCCACCTAGTCACCCAAAGTCATTATCAACCCATCCTTAAGGGTAAACTTTTTCCAGAATAGCAAAGCAGTTAAGAATACAGTCACTTAATTACCTAAGTTCAAATCCTTTTCCTACCACCCTCCTGCTCTAAGACCGTGGGCAAATTACTTAACCTTCTGTATCCCAATTTCCTCATCAGGGAGAAAATAATACCACACAATCTGCAGGGTGAGGTGGGTATGAAATGATTAACACTTGTAAAGTACTTAGAGCAGTGACTGGCACAAAATGCTGAAAAAAAATGTTTACTGGTAGTGTTATTATTATCACAGCCAATCAATCAACATGTAATATATATTTTGTTTTCTATAAGATCAGCTCTTCTCCATATCCCTAATTCTACTTTTGTTTGTATATTTAACGTCTCTGAAAGATTACTATTCCATAGTTCATCAATATTAAAATGTGTATCTTCCGCATTTTACCATCTCTGACCTGGGCGTTCTTATACTTGATAGCATATCATGGTTTCATAGGCAGGAGGCAGCATTTTTATTTCTTAGGAGCATATGCATCTAGTAATAACAGCAGTGATGCATCTTACAAGGTGTCTTAGGTTTAATGAAATATAGTAAGGGTCTCTTACCTATCTGGCCTCCATTCTGACCCACCAACACCACCTGAAGACCCCAAATCCACTAATGCCAGAAGGCTATCTAGGACTGGGGAAGAACTTATAAAATAGCTATATCATTTAACAGATGTCAGCTATTTCAATATCATTTCATCTTGCATCATGAGCATTTTTAAAGTAGTAGTTGCATTTCAAAGACTTTTGAAAAACATTATAATAATAAACCTTTGAAGATTTATCCATTCATTCATTCACCTATATTCAGTAGATATTAACAATGTTCCAAAAATCTGTTCTAGGTACTGGTGATATAGCTATAAGCAAAACAGACAAAAATCCTTATCCTCAGAGTCTTCATTCTAATAAAGGGAGATTAAAAAATAAATAGTACGGAATCTGTATCATATGATGGTAAGTGCTAAAAGAAAAAAAAAAAAAAAAAACGGGAAGAGGAACAGATTCATCACACTCCTGACAATCATGTTATAAAATGATTGCCCTGCATGGTGATAACGCTAATAACATTAGACTTTAGAAACATTTCCTCAAATGCAAGATCCCAATTAGACATTTACCCAGGCTACTTTGATTTGGAAAAGGAGTAAATCTCAAAAGCCTTGGGTTTACACAGCCCATAAGCTGATCCACTTTAGTTACCATACTAATAAGGATTGTGGTTATAGCTTCTCTGGCCTTGACGAGTCTTTGCCTTTTATATTTTAGGAGGTCATAAATGTTGGATGAGGGCACTTTTCAGGTCCATGACTTACTGCCACCTCTGCCTTTCCTGAACTCCCCAAACAGCTAAACGTTCTTTATAAAGGGCTTCAATGCTCTGAAATAGGTGCTCCCAGGTGGCTGTTATAACTCATTTCAACCTGGCTGAACAGGCATGAATAAGCCTCTTTATTGTTGGTTTTATCTTCCCTTCCATGCTTGGGAATACAGAATGATCTCTAAAAGTTTACGCTTTATTAACTTCATGAGCCACCGGAAAAATTCCTTCAGTATCATCAGGATAATTCAGCAAAGGTACCTTCAGTGTCCTGATATGATTCTCAGCCTCACTCTTTTCTTTCTTAAAGTGCTTCATCAGCTCCTGGATATTTTGTTCATGCTTCGTTTTCACACTCTGCAGTGATGATGTGAGATCTTTCAGCTCCCTCTGGTGCACGTCTCGTTCCAGCTTTAACTGTGTGATGATGGTATCTGTTTCTTCATCCCTGGATTTTGCCTGTGCAGTGAGGTCAGAAAGGTTCTTAAGCACTGCTTTCTTGGCTCTCTCTTCCTCGGCCAATTTATTAGCGAGATCTGCTCGGATGGCACTCAGGTCCTTGATGGACTCTTGCATCTCAAGAAGCTTAGCTTTGTCCTGGGCCTGGCTCTTCTTGAGCTCTGCAATTTCTTCCTCCAAATGAGCTTTCTCAACTTTCATCTGGCTTTGGATCTTACTCTGCTTTTTCAATTCACTTTCCAGTCTATGAATGGTATCCAGGGAATTCTTGACTTCCAATTCAAGGTCAGCTTGATGAGCCTTAATATCACTTAGTTTCTCCTCCTTAGAGTGAAGCTCCTCCTCCTGAAGGGCACGCTTTGTTAGGACATCGTTCAATTCCTTTCGAAGATTCTCTATTTGTTGTAATGCTGCGTACAGTTGGCTTTTCAATTCATCCTTTTCTTTCAAAATCTATCAGGTTAAGAACATGAAGCAAAAAGAAAAGTTACTGTAAAATTCACCATAGAGTCTGCCAGTTTGCAAAATAAAGTTTAACCCACATGGAGAAAAAAAAATTCATCAATAATTTTTGTATATTTTCCATTTTGTAATAAAAATACTTTTACACCAGAAAGGGGGGAAATATATAACTGTCCTGAAATAGCAACATACTGAATGTATTTCAGATTTTCATCACCAAAACTTATTTCAATCCATGGTCACAAATAATTATTTAAATGTAGATAAAATTGAGCAAACAAATGGGGAAAGAAAAGACTCTCATTATAAAGAAAATTTACCAGAGGTTGAAGTAATACAGTATTACCTAAAATAACAATGATGTGCATCCCAATGATACATACACTTTTAAAAAGGAGAAACCCCAAACAGAGATAGAAAATAATATATGGAAACATGCAGGTACAATATAAGAAAGTGTATGGTACATTCAGCCATTATTTTAAAAATATCAATGGTGACAAAAACTCACCAATATGCAATGGGAGCCTTGAAGCCCACAAAGGTAAACATAAGATTAAGTTAGGAGAGGTTGGGAAAAGGCTCAAGTGAGAAGTCAAGGGCCTAGAATTCCATCATTCTATGCCAGCCTCTCTACGATTTACATTGAGGGACAGAGGTCAAGGGTTAACTCTTGTGGCCTCTAATTCTCACCACCAAATAATTGAAAATAAAATAGTGGGCAGCCAAGGGAGCCAAGATTGTTTTCCATTCAACACTGGCACCAAAGATAATCTCCGTGCCTACTTACTGATGCTCACACCATGTCGTGAAACAGGCAAGAAAAAAAGGAACCAGTTAAGACTCATTACAGAATTACAAATAATGAGTTAAAATGCAAATATTTGCAAGACATATCTACACTTTACATTTCATACTTTAGTATAAAACAATTTATGATAAAATTTAATGAGTCAATCACTCAAAAAAAAAAAAAAGTTTCCCCAATCCTTCTCAGTTTTAACTGAAAGAAAGAGCACAAAGCTAACATGAGAACTAATAAAAGGAGAATAAGCAGTTGAGCTCCAACTGGAAAGAAGTGAATTTGATTCTTAGTTCAGTCATGGGCAATTCTATGGCTTCAAGAAAATCATTTCTCTTACTAGAGAAAATAATAATAGCTATTTCATAAGATTGTGATGAAGATCAGTGAAAACGGGGAAACAAAAAAGTTAGAGAAGAATTTAATTTCAAGGAGGTCCTAGGGTCTCAGGGAGGTATTTATGCAAAGTAGTGATCAAAACTGTAAAAACAGCCAGACACAGTGGCACACAACTGTAATCCCAGATACTTGGAAGGCTCAGGCGGGAAAATAGCTTTGGCTCAGGAGTTCGAGACCAGCCTAGGCAATATAGCAAGACTCCATTTCTACTGTGAAAAAAGTGGATAACTGAAGAGAAGGAACTCTGGTACACAGATGGAGGATTTCACTTTCAAAAGAATGTAAGGTAGGAGCAATATAGATGAGCCTAAGGGTAGACATATTATTTTTCTATTGCTGCATAACAATTTCCAACAGACTTAGTACTTAAAACCATACTCATTTTTTATCTCACTGTTTCCAATAGGTTGAAAGGCCAAGCAAGGTATTCAACTTAAGGCCTCCTAAGACTAAAATCAAGGTATCAGCTGGCCAGACTTCTTATCCGGAAGCTGAGGAGAATCCATGTCCAAGCTCATTCAGGTTTCTAGTAGAATTTGTTTCCATACAGTTGTAGGACTTTGGGTCCCCATTTCCTTGCTAGCTTTTGGCCAGGGGTTATTCTAAACTTCTAGAAGCCAACCTTGTTCCTTGGCTCGTGGACTCTGCCATCTTCAAAGTTTGCAATAGCTGGATGAAGCCTTTCCAAGCGTCAACTCTCTCCGACGTCCCCATGTCTCAATAGCCAGAAAAAAACTTCTGTTGAGGGCTAGTGATTAGATTAGGCCCATCCAGATCATGTGATCCCAGGAGTAATGTCTTATCATATTCATGGGTTCCAGAAATTAGGGTGACTTCCTGGTGGGTAGGGGTCATTCCACTTACCAAACTCGAGAACACAAAAACTGACAGAATCAAGTTTGGGCTGTAAAGATACCGTGGGAGGGACTGAACGAGGGTAGGGGTCTTCAATATAGTGATATATGTTTGAAGCAGATAACTTAGCCCTCTTGGCATGAGTTGAGAGAATTACAGGCAGTGCTGAGGATTAAAATAATATTTTCACAATGAAGTCCTACCATGTAAAGCATCTTTAATTATGAAACATTATGTCTTCCTGAAATTGGATTAAAAAGCAAAGGTATTTCTTTTTGTCACATAACAGGAAGTCCAGAGGTAGGGTGGTTCAAGAAGAATCCCTCAAAGCTCAGGCTCTGCTATTCTGTAACTCTCCATCTTTTGCTGTCTCTGTAGTGTTCCAAGCTTCACATCAATTCCTGACAAAGATAGCCTCAGGGCAGACAGTCACAGACCAGGTGGGTCAAGTTTGGCATTTCTTTGGCAACACAGATACTAAAAACTAAGCTCTGCCAATTTACTTCTGGTTAATTGCTTGCCTAGTAGCACAGCTTAAGATTTTGTCTAGACATTTTCTCTGAGTCAGAAAATGTCAATGTCTTTACTGCCATCTCAATACCCTGGACATACCTAGGGCCCTCAGTTAAGTAGCCTTTATCTTTAGGCAAATCAAAACAGTGGAATTGGGTCCCCTTTGTCTGGCCAGGAATGCTTAAGTACTTGAAAGGATCCCGAGGAAAAGGCTTGATTTTTAACCTCTTTTCTTTTTTTTCCTGTTTCCTGCCTCCCTCTTGTGCTTGCTCTAACTTCTGTTTGGATAAATAATTTGGCTTTTCCAAGCCTAAGGGGTTCCAAATCATCAGACTCATACTCAATTTGGATTACAGATTGCAGACTTCAGGGTTCCCACCTTAAAAAACAAACAAACAAACAGAAACAAACAAAACTCTCTGCTTTTAGACTGACCAGTTTCAACTTAAACTTGTCTTTATCTTGTAAGAACTTTCTAAAGGCTGAAATATGTACACAACGTACTCCAACATCCTAAAGTTTTCCTACCAGTCACTTAATACTATCCTCTGATTCATAGCATCGAGGCCTCTAAATATGATTTCTGATGGTTTAAACCAACTGCTTCCAACCGCATAGCAAGGTTTACTAACTTTCTCTTTAGAACAGTATGATCCTCTATTGCCCCTAAACCTACTTTTCCTCACAGTCAGTCCTACAATTTCAGTTCTTATTTCTAGAACTCAAATTTTACATAAACTTGAATTTCTTCTGCTGAGGGTAGAGAAAATCCCAATCTGAAATGACTTAAACCACAAGAAAATCATTCCAGGCATTCATACATGACCACTGAGACAGGTAAGGGGGAAAAAAAAAAGAAAAGAAAATCATTCCAGGCAGAACTGCTCCAGACACAGTATGTGAAAGCTCTAGGTTCACCTCTCTGCAATTTTGTACTTAGTGATGGTCTTAGATTAATTATCAAATGGAATGGATAGGGGAAGGGAGGAGGTAACCATGACTACTACAGAAGCCAACTGACACTTCTATGCAAGTTTTGCTGTTACTATTTAGGAGAAGGAATGGAATAAGTGGAAAGTGGAGTTGACTCCAGATTATAAATCAGTAAAATGTATGAGGGCGAAGAAAGAAATTGAAGATGTTGGTGAGAACATCATCAAAGTAGCTTTCAATGAAGTCCAATGTGACAGGAAAAAAATTAAATCCAGAAAATGGCTAGCAAACCAGAGGAATGTAGAAAGATCAAAACTGGGTATTAATAGTTTAAAAAGCTAGGGGGTAGGGAATAGAAGAATTATGAAAGATCAGAGACTGAGCTTTGAAACTGAAGGTTTGGACATGGAACAATTAAAGATGAAGATAAAATATAAACACAGAAATCAGACACTGAAGTAGAATTATTTTAGTTAAGGTCACTATAAAATAAGACATCAGTGAATTATAAGGATACAGGCTTCAGTAAGTTACAGACTTGAACTCTGAAGTTACTAAGGATGATGGCAAGAATTGCATGTCATAAAACAGGTTGATGCAAAGCCAAGTGCTAAAATCCTTGAGAAATGTAGGGGCATAAATGAAAAAACTAGCCAGCAGTAAAGAGAAAAACGGGGAAAAGGATGTTCTAACCAGGCAAACCAAGCTTCCAAAAGGGGCAAAAGAAAAGATTATTGAAAGACCTGAAAACTGTGTGAAGCCAAAAGAGCTGAAAAGCTGTGTGAAGCCAAAAGCATGATGCTATCTAAAACCATGGCAGTTATAGGAACGGAAGCCAACTCCTCAAAGACCTGAACACAAAGTAATATATACAGTTAGGTTTTTTTTAATTACAGCAAGGTAGATGAGGGGATTGTTAAATATGTGTTTTGTTTTGTTTTTACCTGCATGTGAGGGAAAATGCAGGCAGATGGCTGGATTATACTAAAACATAGTCTAGCATTTCTTGAACAAAAAATAGTACACTTTGGCATTGATCTTTCTTACTTTCAACCATTCAAAAATTCAGATTTTACAAGATAGCATATATTATATATAATTCTTTTTTTCTGTCAGCAGGAGGGAAATACACAGAAAGAAAATATGGTAATTTAAGATTCTTGACATCAAATACTATCAAGGAAAAAGCTCAATATATAAGCAAGTCAGTTATTCTGCCAATTCAGCATGGGAGGAAAAAACCCTAGCAAGTATTCCCATTATCCATATTTTTAAAAATGAAAAAAATTGGAAATATTCAGAAAAGCAATATACTATGATCGGAGTCCAAGTCCAATTTTTTCCTTTATCGTTTCCAAAGCACCTGTACAAACCAATGATTTCAAACAGCACCTTAAAAGAACAGAGGCAAAAATACCACAATTTACGACTAGATTATTTGTATCTACAAACTTTCGGTCTCCTAATATCTGTTACCTACGTATCCCTGAAGTATATCATGATTTCCTGATGTAAATATCCATTTCATTGTCTTTTGAGGAAAGTATACAATTTAATCTGTCTGGGTTTTTTTTCCTGCAGTGATACACGATTTGATATTACACATTCGTCAGTAATGAAGTAGTTTTACAACATGATACATATCTGATAATCTTACTAAGATTCCGGAAATGTAAAAAGCAGAAAAAAAGAAAGAAATCAGAGAATTTTTTTCTAAAATTTATATCTAAAAATATACTAAAAGGTAAAAAAGCATTTTGTCTTTTAGTATTTTTTATTTTTTACGGATTTTTTAGTATTTTTTATTTTTGAAGTAGTAAATCTTAAAGCAGAAAATAATTTATGCTAGAAAGAGAAAATTGGCAAGTAGGCACAAAACCATATTGCAAATATGAGAATAGAATCATATGAGCATATAAAATGACTCAGTAAGGCTGCTTATTAAGTAATTATTCTTTAAGCCACAATATGTTATATTTGGAAATCAGTATAATTTTTATTTTAATATACAATTCCAAATACCTTAGAGTCACTTTTTGAAAATAATTAGCCTTAAAATCAAAAAGAAAGTAACTGTATTATAAATGCCTTAAGATGACTTTGTGATTTTATTAAGAATTAAATATCCCTTAGAAATAATAATCTGTAATATATTTTTTTAAATTTCTGCAAAATGATTTACCATGTATTTCCACATCACAGATTTACTGAACATATTTCTTACTCTTTTTCCTTGAAAAACCAGTGCCCTAACTGCAACATGCTGCATTAATTTTTAAGGCTTTTAAAGGAGAAATTACAATGCCTGCTGTGATAATTGTGTTACAACCCTAACTGTGGCAATCACTTGAAAACTGCTTCTTTGCTTATCATTAGTAATGCTAAGTGATAAAAATAATTGGAAGCATTCTGGGAAATGATTGTTAAACAATTTTTAATATTCTGAAAACTCAACCTAGAAAAATCTCAGCACCATGAATTGGGATACTGTCTGATGACATGGACCCTTCTAAATCTCTTCTAATTAAGTAAAATCTCCAGATGAGATTTTCAATCAATCAATTCCCTCAACCACTCCTCTCTCTAGCTACCTACCTTATAGTCAGGCTCATTGAGCTAGTTGCCAGATCAGGCTGACAACGGAATAATGAAGATAGAGCAATTTCCTGGGATCAGATCAGTTCAGACACAAGTCTGAAAGCGTTAGAACTGCGTTACTTCAGGGCAACCAGCCACCAGCCACCCAGTATGTGTCAGATGGGTTGAAAAGCAATTCGCAGTGAGTGCAAAATGATCATTTCTTTCATCTATGTGTCCGAGAAATTCATATGTAAAAGATAAAGTATCTTTTCCATGACAGCTCATCTGAAATAAGCATCTGTCACTCTTAAATGCTGAAAATTGATTTTACGAATATAATCCCCTACATTTTGTTTTCTTTCCAAAGAAAGTCAACTTATCCAAATGATTATTCTTCTGGAATGTACAGAGTTCTTGACAAGTGACAAATGACAAAGCACAAATGATAAACCGAGAATGAACATGGATAAAAATCAATCATGACTTTCCTGCTTATTATCTTATAAACATCTGGGTTTAATTCAACCCAAAGATCTATCAGATGAGAATTAACATAGGAACATAAAATCCATTTAAAGTAACTGATTATACAAGAGAAAAGATAATGTGAAACGCATACATAGATCAGTGAAATGCTTTCTGTTGCTATCAAAAGGACATAAAAGCAATGTCTTGAGAGGGTTGTGATCCTATAACACTGCTCAGTCAGTGAGATCCTCAGTGTCACGCATTCAAGTAAAGCCCATTACGGTTGCTGCCAGAAAAATGGCCCTAGTAACTACTGCATTTTTAAAAATGCTTCTTTCTAACCAATTGAAAAATATAAATAAATGGGATTTAAAAATACATGCACTGGGAGGAAAATTACATAAAAATAAGGAAGATTTAGTCATTTTCTTCCATTGGAATATTAGAAGATTAAGGAATAATTCAATTTAGAAAACTTACACCTAAACTGGGGCAAAGGGTAGATCTATGTATGGGCCAACTCTGACAAGCCACTCAAAACTAAACTATGAAAAGGCTTAAGTAAAAAAATTTAAAAATTAACTTTTCTACTTTGAAATAGCCAAGACATAAGCATTATTCTATCAAGGACATATGGATTATATGTACAGTATGGCACTCAGGTGTTTCGTCAAAGGATGGATAAATGAATGGTTGGGTCACATCAAAAACCATTCCTTGGGAATGTGGCTTTTATACCTGGTTATTCTTGTCTGTCAGTTCATCAGCAGTTTCAGATTGTTTCTCCAATGCTCGCTCTAACTTCTTGTGTTTAAGCTTCCACTGCCTAATGGATTCTTGAGCTTTCAGTTTCAGGTCTTCCCTCCTCTTCTCCGCCTCCTCTCTCAGGGCCTCTGACTGCTGGAGCTCACTGAGGTACTGCTCAGCCTGTTTGGTTGCATCCTCTGCATGGCGAGTCAGCTCTGAGATCTGAAGGTCAGCATGCTTGCGCTCAGCCTCACATGTGTCAAAGTGCTTCTGGATCTCTTTAAGTCGATCCAACATCTGCAGTTGCTGTTTTTCCCCATTCTCCAGTTCACGTGTTAAATTCTAGGAATAAAGCACGTAAAATATTAGGAACAAATCCTTGTCAACACTGGATGTATAACATATCATCAAACAAGAATCTCTAATGTGACTGAAATGGAAATCATCTGCATTAAAATTCATTAGCAATCAGTTTAGAAAATACGAGTCCTTTTCTTCGTATTTTATAACCATGTTAGTTGGGAATAATTTTTATATAAATATTGCCTCTTTTTTGGACTATTTTATTATCCAAAAAGGGAAAATATGTGTTTTCAATTGACTGTCACCAAAATAAAAGGCACCTTAGAAGAAATAGTAACAACCTAGTGTTTTGTCCAACTAAAGAAATTTCAATGTTTTAAAATTTGTCAGGCTCTCATAAAACTATTAGTAGCAATCATATGTAACATTTTGCTTTCTGGCAGCAAAACAAATTTATAACATAAAAATAAGTAACAATGAAGTGACAGAAACATCAGCATAGATAACACTATATTAGGCGCCCAATAAAGTGTTTACAGATTGGTTAGTTCCAGATAAACCATCATTATATTATATATTGAAGCACTTATCTCAAGCTGACATGAATCACTGTAGTACAGACTTATAAATACACTTAAGTTTATTTGGAATATTTCTCTAATCAAGAAAAAAACCTTAAGTCTAGCTTCTCTAAAACCAGGATGGTGATTATATATTTGGAAATTACACTAAACCATCAGGATTAATACATATTTTAAGAATAAGTAAATATCTATTTTAAGTTTAAAAATGAGAAGATTCTGTGTATCTTTGCAAGTGTATACAAATAAAAGAAAAATCGTTCACATTAAGCCATTAAAGAATCTTAAAATCAAGCCACTTTTGTAAAGCTTTGTAAGAAAGTAATAAATTCAGAAATATAGCACTTACAATGAATCACATAAGCTGCCCCTCTTAAGCCTCAGTTTCCAAATACTTCGTGGCAACAAAAGTGATAATAAAAAGGTCATGTGTCCACATAAGAATGAGTTCAAAGGCTAGAATGAGGCTGTGAGTTGGATAAACAATAAATAACATCTCCACGGTACTAAGGCCCAGACCAATGAGACTAGAAACATTTACCAAGCTCCCTTGGCCCCAAAAGCAGAATTTCCAGATCCAGATTCCACCATCTATGGCTCAAATAAAGTTAAATATAATTTCCCTCATGATTAAAATCATGGTTTGACATTATGGCAAACATTTTTTTAAATGCCTCAAAAACAAACTTCATTTTCTGGGCAACAAGTTTGCATTTGTCCAGTTTGCTAAATTCAATGCAGCCTGGAAGACGCTCCATCCACCCAAAATAGTAAATTGAGAACTGTTTACTTACTTGTTTGTGTAGAAAATTTTAAAATAAGATCTGAAAGCCCTTGGAATTGTGGTTTACCTTTTGCTCTTATTCTACAAGTTTTACCAGTATGCTAGAAATCAACTTTATTAACAACCAGTAATGAGGTGATTCCTCATCAAAAGAGAAATGGAACTGATTTTTCTTTTCAACTAATACTTGAAAAGAAAGTGGTTATACTTCCTATTTATCAAGCATATGGTTAAGAAATATTAATAAGACATAGTTTTAATACCAGAGACGCTAACTCTAATTAGGGAGGTAGTCTCAGCAACCACTAAACTACAGTAGATGGTACTATGTGCTAAAACATGATGGAGAGTTACCTAAAGGGGTCTATAGTCTACAGTGTGGCTGCAGAGGGTCTCCCATAGGAGGTGATGTATAAGCTGAGATTTAAAAGAAAAGGAGCTAGCAGTAATAATCAAATAACTATGACTACGACTGAAGTGTACTGAGTACTTGAGTTGTACCAAAGATTGAATGCTTCATGTGAATTATCTCATTCAATCCCAACGCAAATCTAAAATGAGACACTACTATTCCCATTTCAGTGAAAAGTAACCAACATTTGCTGCAGTTAATAATTTGCCTAAGATCACATACCTAATAAGTGAAGGCATAGGGATTTGGATGCGGATAGACTGATTCTAGAGTCCATGTTATCAACCTATTGCTAAACTTCCAGATTCTCAGATGACCCCAACTCCATGCCTCTTCAGTCACCCACTGCCATGTTTTTATCTTGGTGTTTTTATCACAACTGCTACCTTTAAAGCACGAGGTTCCTCACTCCACCCTCTTCCCATAATTCTGGCTTTAATTACCCATCTAATCAGCTATTACACCCCCTTCCTTCTGCTTTATCTATGCTTCATTGTCAAGGAGAGAACTACTCCCTTGAGATTTCTTTTACTAGCTTTAAATCTTGGCTCTCTAACCTAACCACCGTATTTTTTCACTTTAGCCAATCTCTTGCTTACACCTCAGACTCCTTCTTCAAACTGTTCATCTGCTGAACTTTAACAACAAAACCACCAACTATAGATGAACTTAAAAAGTCCCAATTCCTATGTCAGGTTGAGTCCTATAATAAAAATCACACAAGACTATCAGTTGATGTGATTACACATTGACAGTCAACTCACTGGTACCCAGAAAGTCTTCCACATGCCTCTACCCAGCTCACACAATGGCCATCATTACAAAAAGTCTCATCTCTCTGACTCTACCATTTTTAACCTTGGTTTTAATACGTACTATAGCTCTTCCTTCAGAAGTAAAATTGAGGCAGTCAGTTAATGCAGGATACCCCAAATATGTCCTACTTGTAGTATTTTTAAATTTACCAATGGTCAATTTCTTCTCCTTTTTAGCCTCCAAGGAAAGAGTATTCTTCCTTAGACAAATAGCCTTTCTCTGCGATTTTCCTACTTGACTTTTCTGCTTTACTTCTCTCATCTCAAAAACTAACAGTAAAGATTTTTTAAAAATAAAGAAAAGGAAAACAACATCAACAAAACCGCTTTCCTCAATCCTACATTATCTTCTACCCAGTATGATGTATTCATTTTCCTCTTAAGCCAAGCTCCTGGAAAAAGTAGTCCGTACTTGATGCCCCCACAACCTCATTTCAGTTCACTTGGTTCACTGTGTCTGGTTTCCATCATACTATGAAAACAGCTCTCACCAATATCCCCAAAGATCACCTATAGCTAAATACAAAAATTCTTAAAAATCTTACAGTGGGAGGCCAAGGTGGGTGGATCACTTAAGCCTAGGAGTTTGAGGCCAGCCTGGGCAACATGGTGGAACTCCTGCCTCTACTAAAAACACAAAAATTAGCTGGATATGGTGGTGTGTACCTATAATGCCCGCTACTCAGGAGGCTGGGGCATAAGAATAGCTTCAAACTAGGAGGCAGAATTTGCAGTGAGCTGAGCTTCCGCCACTGCACTCCAGCCTGGGCCACAGAATGATTCAGTCAAAAGAAAAAAAAAAAAAAAAAAATTCCTTTACCTAGTTTCCTTGTAACATGTGATGCTGTTAATTAGCCCTTGTTCATTCTTAACTCTCTTCTTCCTTAACTTTCATAATACCACTTTTTACTAGTTCTCTATCTTCTTGTTCTTTCATAATCTCCTTTGCTGCATCTCTTCTACCATTTAGCCTCTTAAATATAAATAACTCTATACAGTTCCAGTATTATGCATCATTCCACCTACACAATATCCTTGGTAGATAAGTATTTAGGTAGTCAGATATTAGTAGGTATTAGTGAGTCCTGCATTCAGAAGCCATACTAACTCCTCATCTCCAGACTTTCAAATATCTAATGGCTTCATAACTTTCTCAGAAATCTCACAGGCATCTTAAACTTAGTAAGTCAAGAAGTGAACTTATCCGATGACCAACTCCTAACAAAAAAGTGGTTCTCTGATGAGGGAGGATGGAATTGAGCTGAACTTTGTATTTAAATAGTGAGACGCTCTGAAATAATTACTGTAGGAAAAGAGGAAATGAACAAGAGATAGATGTTTAAAAGACAACAAACAGAAATAAGGTTCCAGTTAGATAGTCTCAAATTTATAATGGACCCAAGAATATACCAAATTCTTTGGATTTCTCCAGCAACTCTCTGGAACCCAGAAGCAAAATAAGTTCAGGGTTATTTATTCTTCTGTAATTACAGAGTAACAACAAGAAGCACAGGATTAACACATTCAAACCCAGAGCTCACTCAGGAAAACTCTTTCGTTATCACATTTAAAAACTGTGAACTCTTACATTAACATGCTACATGCAGTAATTCACTTTGAATATTATTTGAAAAGATCATGTCATTGAATGGGTATGTGAGGGTACATGAACAGAAAAGGGTGTGGATCTTTTTGTAAATAATTGTGCTTTTCACTACTCAAGAGAAATCAGTTGAATTTGTCCTGGATGAACACCTTCTCTAACCGCCCTGAATCTGGAAACTATCAGTAGCTATGTACTGCTTTGCTATCAGCCTGTGTTATGTTTCAGGTAAAATTCATCATCGAGGTCCTTCCTATATTCTCCTAAGATTCCTATTCAGCCACTGTTTTGGCATTTTATCCATCTTCCTCAAATAACCAATCAGGAAAATCTAACTGGAATATTTATCCCACATCAATCAAGGGACTATACTACAGAACCCTCATATGAATTCTCAACACACATACACTCTCACTGACATACTTATGCACATATACATAGAGCACACAAGTGTACAAGTGCATAATAAACCCATAGATAAATGCTTTCAGGGTATTTACAGTAAATATTAAGGCACAAATAGTAAATATTATTTTCCTAATGTGCTACATCACATGCTAAGTGAAAAGCATTTTTCTTATTCCCTTATAATGATTTTCAGTTCCATTATTTCTATTATACATTCCTGGAGGCATCTACACTGAAGAACTTTTTATATTCAGATTGTGTGAAATTATCTCATCCACTAAAGCAGAATGGTTAAATTTCATATCACTTAATTAAGTCCATGTTTATTTCTCGCTATATAAGCAGTGTCAAATAAAAGGAACAACTCAGAAATAGAATTATCCACATTACCATAAATTCTTTCCCATATACTGACAAAGGTTTATAAAAGCTCCAA